TAAAATACGATATTTTAAATTAATTTTCCGAAGCACTTGACGCGCGATAGGCATCTATTTGTATTTGAGGTCTATTCGTCTATCAGCCATTACAAATTTGTCTATAACATCATCATAAAATTTCGGATTTTCCGTTAATTGTTAGGCCTACCTTAATAATGTCACTTTTTTCTTGGAAGTTCCGACTAGAAAATCCCTTTTTTAATATCACACATACAACACAAACACAGTCTAAATTATTGTTAAGGGCATTTTTTAAAAAGAAATAGCAAAATCCTTTCTCATTTGTTGAAAATTAATTGTTACACACTGTATGTTAAGTTTTTATAGTAGTTTTTTTTTAATGAAAACGTCCCTTTTCATAAGAATACCTCAATTACTATAATCTTCCATAAAAATATTTTATATTAAATGTAGAGAAGTCTTACAATACCAGTTATTAAAAAAAAACATTAAAACATTAATTATAGTGATTCTCTAAAAAAATCCTATTAGGGCTCGTCATAAAAATAGTAAAGCTGCCATATAGGTATACGTGTCTTCATCTTGGATCTAAGAAAGACATAAATTTCAACGCCTAATATCCGTGGATCGTACGTATAGATAAAAGTTATAATGATAGGCCCGAATAATCTTTCGTAATTTCCAATTAACGATTTGGTTAAACGCTGTCAGTCGGTAATTGAAAAATAATTAATGGGCGAAAACATCGACCAGGTAACGAAATTGTTCGGCAATTCGAGCCATCAATCAAACTTAAACGTTGCCTATATACGATGCTTCAATAAGTGATTAGCTTATAGCTCCGTATAATAATCGTATTTAATTGACCGAGACTCTCGATACATTCTTTCTTATAGGTGATCGGTTTATTTTTAGAACTCTTTTAAGAAGATGTTTAAAAAACAGAAATACCAAACAGATTTTTACATCTTACTGTATATCTATTATTATAGAAAAAAACGGCGTCCAGTTACTCAGAAATGAACATCGGTGCTGTGAGCATAATCTCGTCTGCAACTGTGTACAGTATTATGACAAATTCTTATAATCAATCAATTAGACTCAACGATTAAGGAAATGCCACAGCTTATTCGGTACCAGCATCTTCGATGGTTTTTGAGTATTCACCTGCTGCATCAATTTTCTAGTAAGTAGGCAGGCTGGCTATGATTTTACTGTGGTTTTGCTACAGATACCTAACACATAGCCAAAATTATTGCATATATCGTTTAAAAATATATGGAAAGGAATTTAAAGAAACTTTTTTTATACATAGGTTTGATAATCTGTAATAAACATTTTTTTGTTAAAATGGATATTGCAAACAATGTTTATCGTTCAGACCTAATATTACTACAAATTCTTGCACATTTCGATTTGTGGTCTCTTCGGTTTCAGAGGAAATTTTACCATTGTTTTGGCCTTAAAATATCTAGAAACATTATTTCACAGTTTAATAGAGCCAGAATAGTAACACTGGCTCAACAGGGCTACCGGCGAGTTGCAATAGCTGAAATTGTAGGAGTTAACTAAAGCGATGTTTCGCTAATATTAAAAAAAATCTGGAGACATTACTGTATATCTATTATTATAGAAAAAAACGGCGTCCAGTTACTCAGAAATGAACATCGGTGACATTCATTTCATAGCCATCGCTGACGCCGTTTTTTTTTCGATCATATTGTGCTTCGTATGAGAGGTGCCACCTTATACAGGGTGCATCTCAAAACTGGCTCATCCATATAATTTTTTTGTCTTGAGATAAAAAAAATGGCGCCGGGAGGCACGTATAGCCGCCCATACATTTCTTTTAGTTTCAAAGTAAAGGAATTTTTCCAATTTTTTTTATCTCAAAAACTGCAACTTTGACTGATTTTGATGTTATTACAAATTTTGTTGCAAATATTATTCCTAATCTTAAATTGAAAACCGCGTTTCGCTAGCTACTGTAATTTTGGAGTTACGATTTTTTAAAAATTTTTAACCCCCTCCTATACCTCCTTACCAACCCCCCACCCCCACCAAAAACTAATGGCCAGATTCTCGGGCGCCACAGTATTTTTGTGCCAAATTTGGTTAAAATCGGTTTGGCGGTTTTTGAGTTATCGTGTTACAGACGGACAGACAGACACCATGAAAAAATATTTTGTATTTAGGTCATTTATGATTCAAATAACTCATTTTGAGTGGAATTAAAAAAAAATGATTTTTTGCCGATCTTAATAGCCTACCATACCTGTTGGTATGGTCGGCTAAAAATACATTGGTATTGACTGAAAAATGATTGCAAAATGTAACCAAGAGTTCCCAAGCAGCATTTGGACGTCGGGACAACGTTGTGTCACGCGACCAAACGTCGGGGCGCAACGTCGGCACAACCTCGTGCCAACCCTAATCTGCACTAGTTTGGAGAATAATTTTTGGGTCGAAACGACGTTGGATACCGACGTTGGCTGGCAGCCTAATTTAGTACAAACTGCAACGTTGTTTAAAATCCTAATTCACAGAAATACAAAACTAATATGGCGTCTAAGTCGCGTTTTATCCTAAATTGGGATAATTATAGTAAAAATATTATTTTTATGATTTAGTTAGAGACATATGTCAGATGGCAGTGAAGGAAAACAATGAAGTGAAAATTTAAAATTTAAGGTTATGGTTCAATACAGTTGCAAAAAGGTAGTGACTCGACGTCCTACCAACGTAAGAATAAGGAAATCTAAACAACGTTGGAATTAGTAAAACAGACGACGTTTGCATAACGTTGGAATAGGTCCTGAAACTGACGTCGGAAAACTCTATATTGTCCAACGTTGTAACTACGTTGTCCGAATCACCTAAAAATCACTTAAGCAAAAAAGGTTACATGACAACGTTTATTCGACGTCGCAGAAGCTTCTACTTTGCTGTAGTACTAGTCCAACATCGGCACAACGTTATAAAAACGTTTAAATTTATTTTAATACCCAAAGTAGGGAGCTAACTATTTTTTGTAACTAATCCAACGTTGTGTTTAGTAAACATGTGGTCGCAAGTCGTGAAAATGCTACTTGGGTTAACATTCAATCAACAAGTAAGTATTTTAGAACCTCTTCAGTGATAATTGCTAATTTTTTGGGTAAATATTGCTTATATGTTAATGTGATTTATATAGACAATTCCTCTCTGAATTTTACCAGTTACAAAAAGTCTAAACATTGAATTAAGACATACAAATGCCCGTTCCCCGCGTAATTAATATAAGAATTTCAGTGTACGCGACAAAAATAAATGTCATCGGCTTTTTGTTGATGTAGAATTAAATTCCACATGAAAAATATTTAAGCTGTGCCGAGGCAAATGTTTTATGACGTGTCCATTTCTTTCTCCCGACAAGCGAATTAGTCTTTGTAAGCTGGTGTGCCGGTCCCAAAGCCATCTATGTAACGTGTACGACCAGGCATTTCGTTCGTTTTTGTTTATTTTTGGATTGTTTCAGCGCGAGCACGTACTCAAAAAACCGCTAGAAAAACTTTAATTTTGTTTTATATTTAATCATACCAATGAGTAAAGAATACAAAGAATGATTGAATAAATATATCAAGAAATGGTTAAAATTACAACAAACAAACAAACAACGCTTTATTGTGCAAAAAGCCAAAACAGCTTCATCGACAAAGCACTCACAAACAACAAAATCACAAAAAAATAGAAACAACAAAAAATACACAATACAAATAATACAATTCAAAAAAATATAAGTCTTTAAAATTACAAAAAGAATATACATGGACAATTTTAGAACAGTACGCAGTAAATAGATATAATTTTAAAGTTATAGAATATTAAATACTTGACCTTTGACCAGTGTGTGAGATGATCAAAATTTTAAAATTCAAAATTGTTCATAATCAAACATCAATAAAAAAGTCGTTTACCGCATATAGGGCTCTCTCCAGTAGGTATGATTTTAGAGCCTTGCGAAATGCGGGAAAGAATGAAAGCGATTTGATATTCAAAGGCAGATGATTGTACATTTTTTTGGCATTGTACAGTATTGAACCCTTAACTAGTTCTGAGCTCGGGGTTGGCAGATAAAGATCGTGCTCTGCATTCCTAAGTGGATAGTTATGAGATGGCCTTTCGGGAATAGCAGATATGTGCTTGCGGATTAAGCAAACGGATTCAAAAATGAATAAAGAAGGAAGAGTCAGTATTTTCAAATTTTTAAAGAAATTCTGGCAGTGAGTTCTACTGTTCAGTCCCAATAAATATCGAACTGCTCTCTTTTGAAGTATGAAAACACGATCAAATTTTGTTGCGCAGCAAGTACCCCAGAATGGAAGGGCATAACGAAGATGTGACTCAAAAAGGGCATAATAGGCTATTCTAGAGGTTGAGAAGTTAAGTTCCTTAGAAACTGATCTTAGCGCAAAACAGGCAGCGCTTAGTTTCTTTGATAGAGCTTCAATGTGAGAGTCCCATTTTAACGAGTTGTCTACAAGAAGTCCTAAGAATTTCACAGAGTCCACGACGTCAATAGTAGTGTTATTAAGTACAAAAGGTTGGTATAGTACTTTTATATGACAAAACTTTAGTTTTTGATAGGTTGAGGCATAGGAGATTAGAATCGCACCAAGACTTAATGGTGCGTAAGTCATTGGATATAGTATCATATAGCGCCGCAACATCTGGGCCGCTCCAAGTGAAACTAGTATCGTCCACAAAGAGGCAGATTTTACCGCTAATGTCCAGATTTGCAATGTCGTTGATAAACACCAGAAACAAAATAGGGCCAAGTACTGAACCCTGAGGGACACCACATTCTATAGGCTTACAAGAAGACATAGACGTATCAATCCTCACAAGCTGCCTTCTGTTGCCAAGATTATTATTGCCAATTTACGGGTTTAGCACAGTAAAATCAACGTCATTGTAACAAAAATTGTAAACTCAATATAATAAATCAGTGAGTTTCTTGATGTTTTGTAAATATTTTTTCTTTGTTTTTTTTACAGTTAATGGAGGTTGGTCAGCTTGGTCACAGTGGACAGACTGCAGGTGTCCAGGAGACATACTGGGAGCAGGTAAAATGAGTACTAGAACTTGCAACAACCCTCCACCCAGCAATGGAGGCCAGCCCTGCCATGGATCCAACGTGAAGAAGAGCAAGGATTGTGTGACCTGTCCACAAGGTATTTTCTACTTGATTTTTGGTGTAATAGAATAAGTATCTAAGTATCTAACTGCTTTAGCTAACGCTAGCTATAAGAGTATCTTAGGTTGTCGATGATAATATGTAAGATTCTCTTACTTTTGTGAAATTACGCCAAAGACAATGTTTTTTAATGTTCAGACATTTTTTTATTCAAAGAACCTTAAAAACTACTGTAAATAATGATTTTTATTTTATTAAAAGTTTTAAGACTCACCCTGTATAAGGTATAGCTTCAAGAATAAACAAAAATACTACAGTTTCCATTATCCTGATTAACTTAAATTTAAAAATATAGCGATAGGTATATTTGTTACTTTAATAATTTTTTGACGATAAAGTGTCAAAAGGTTTTAAGATGACATTCATAGTCAAGTGAAATTAATATTGTCGTCATTCGTCATAGATAAAAGAAACAAGTTCAGATTCGAAATTGCCCATAAGGACAATGTAAATACTATTTGGCGCTATTCTTACAACGGTCGCTCTCCAAAGCTTTTGATAATTTCGGAGCGGTTCGACTTTTTCCGGAATTATGTCGCCAAATTTATTATTATGTTCTTTTAGTTTTTTAAATAAAATACAGCGTGTTACATATAAGAAACTTTATTTTATATAAGAACATGTATGAAATACCTATAAAACATTGGAAACCGACGTTATGCCACGATCCACGATGTTTTTTGTAGTTCACAGTTCACACTTGCCACCTTGTCACAATTATCACAGGTTTGAGTAAATAAAATTTAAATTAAACTCACAAAATAGCAATAATTACTTCGAAAATGGACGCTTTAAACAATTTTCGGTTTTAACAAGGCAGTTTAAATTTTGAAAGATATTATAATTTTTGAATATTCTGACTTTGACAAGAGAAAGTTATTTCTGTTCTTGTTTGCGGTTGTTCTTAGCAACCGCTATAGCAGCGCCCTACAACGTATGCGCTCCAAAATATTTATAAGTTTTGGCGGCAAGCCGGGCATTTCCTTTATATATACCGTGCTGGCAACTGTTACTTTTGGGTCGGCATTTACATGTGTGGAAGTAAATCGCATAGGGATCTTATTAAGTCGGAGTGAGAGAAATGCGACCGACCGACGCGACGGTGTGCTGTTGCGGCGTTGCCGACACGCCTTTCTCTATCAAGTAAAGTAAAATCACGATCGCAAACCGCTTATTTTTAAAAGACTTTTTTTCAAGAGATAACTAGATAAAATCATTAGATATGTTTCTGAGTTCTAATATGTTTAAATAAGAAAAATTCGATAAGGTTTTTTTTTCCGTTCAAAAATTATAAACATTTACTTTGAGAGCATAGCAATTTTCAGCAATCGTGTAATTTTTTTATTGATAAAGATTTTCACATGCTGTCTACAAAGAAAATACAGCAAAAATATTAACAAAGTTCTTGAAAAAACTACAATCTATTATTTCTAATAGATTTCGAGATATCGATTTTTGAATTCAGAGTTATAGCTAATAGCGCGACCACTATCGAACACCCACTCAATTCCACTTATTTTTACCAAAAATGCAAGTGTTTCTAGCTTGCACTTAAAAAAATTCAAGCTATAGGGAAAATTACAACGACTCGTTAATAAATAACAAATTAAGTATCACGAGACGTAATTAAATCGTGAAGCTGAACGCATGACGTACACCTTTCCCTAGAACTTTAAGTACTGACAGAGGTATTGATTGGGTCGACCGGTCAACTGCGACAAATCTGCTATATCCCCTTCCACGTCTCTTAGCGCTGTGCACAGTTTCTCGGTTTATTTCATACGTTTGGCAACGTGTTTACTGTCCTCTCTTTGTTCAGTACATTATAAACGCATTGCACTCTTCTTACATACGGAAATCTCAGCCCTTAGTATAATTGTCGTTGGTTAGAATTAGAAAAATCTTAGAAATACGTTAGGAACCATCTATTTTGTGTAATTCCTGTGCATTGCCATTGCCTTACACAAAATAGTCTGTTTCCCAATGAGTTTTAAAAAACTATTATCTCATTTTCCACGTATTAATCACTAAACTAAGAATTCGAAATAATGAAATATGTAGCAAAAGAATTTCCACACAACATTTTGTTCCAATTAGAACAGATGTCCCTTCCTTCTCAAAAAAAAACTCCAAAAATGTGCTCTTAAAAATTACACCACACGCACATATTTCTTTGTCCAAAACAACAAAATTATGACATTATTACCGAAAATAGAGACTTGGGAAAAAAAGGATAACTGGCACCATGTGGCATGCAGCGAAATTCAGTCATTAAATCGAAAACGGTCGAGATTAGGAGTATTTATGGGCCGAAACCGCATCCATTACTCCAAAAAATCATTATTCTTTGCTCCGCGCTCTCTATTTTTCACCGTCTTTTCGGTTCGGGGGCGGTGCTCTGCGGCATTTTAAATCAATTTTCTACTAATCATCTCGTCATGCCGCGACCCCCGCTATCATGGATTTCGTTAAGCTGTTTGGGCATTCTTCAATATGTTGGAGCTGTTGTTGCTAGCGTTCATTTTGGTACTGTAATTACATACTTATTAACTATAAGAAAAATTAATAATTAAAACTTTTTAAAAACTTTTATTTCGAGGCTCTGAATAAAAGAGAATAAACTTTAAATTGAATCAAATCTATGAATTTATTATACAGGGTGAGTCTTAGTGGTAGTATATTTCGACCCCATAATCAGGATTATAAGTTTTTTTTCGCAAAAAGAAAATTGAAAATTTGGAAATATTTTTAGTTTTTAGTTAAAAACCATAAGTTCTTGATAATATGGCACCATAGGTAGTAGATTAGATTTACAAGAAAGAAAACCCATAAAAGATCCAGTGGTTTTTAAAATTTAAGCAAAAAAATTTTTTGTTTAAATTTGTTTGAAAATTTAAAAAAAATTGTTTTTTTTTTGAAAAAATTTTGTGAGCACCGGATTTTTTCTGTATTTGCATCCCTTTTATTGCCGTAACCATAGAGTAAAGACGTAACTATGGTAATATCTGAGATTAAGGAATTATACCGTGAGAAAATTTGCGGTGAACGGCAGTTATAAAGGTTTTCGAAAAATATTAAAGGGAAATTTAAAAGAAAATGCACGATTTTCAACATTTTTTTAGCGAAAAAACCTCATAGACGTGTTCCTGGAGTCGGAATATACCAGCCCTGAAAATATTTGCACTTATTTAAGACTCACCCTGTATAAAACAACCCCAGAACTCCCAACTGTCAAAAGAGTATGACACGGAGACGAGATATCCCCGAAGTTGTTTACAGGAACTCTGATTTCATGATTTTTTTCTGACACTATACAATGAATGTCAAGTGTTTTGAATATAAAAATCGAATACCAAAAGATTAAAAAATGATTATATTAAAGCAAACTCTAAATGAGACAAACGATTTATTTACCTTTTGCTTGTTGAGTCAAAAAAAAATCAATATATAAAAGATTAGCCATATGGTGGGATGGTATGGGCCAAAAAAATAGGATAATGAAAATACTCTTATAGATTAATTCGAAATTTAAATTAAGAAAAAGAAAGATGTCAGACGAGTAGATTTATGCATGAAAAAACGTACCTACGTTGAAAATTTGCTTCTAAAAAATTGATTTTGGATAATGGATGGTTAGTTAAACGATGCCATAATGACGTTATTAGACGAGCTTTGGTTAATATTTGAGAAAAGCCGTGCCCACCTATTTCAATTTCCTGCCTGTAAATAATCGCAACCCAGAGAAAACATCGCCGCCTCGGTATTGGACAGACGACGTTTCGAAAGCCCAGGAACGGCCGTCCATCTTCAACGTTTCAGCTATTGATTAAAGCGAGGATTTATGAGCGTTATTAGAGCGGGCCAACCCACAGGTTTATCATCGTTTCAAGAAAACACACGCGGTCGTGTGGAGGCCACTTAAGAATCTTCTACTAAATTTAGTACCAGTCCGGTAGTAGTACTTTTGAGCTCGGTATGTCAAAATTTTGAAAAATCGAAACCCGAAATTAATTCATTAGCGATTTTATCGTCTAGGTCGACGATAAAATACCATTTTATTGTCTTATATAAAAAATAACTATTATTGTTTTTTGTCAATCGTGATTTAAATCTCAAGATAATGCAGCAGCTAAAAATAGTTTAATCTGTTTGAAGACTTCTTACATATTATCAGTTGACAACCTGTAATCTAACCTAATAAAATCTAGACTAACCCCGCTTTTAATGTTTGTCATTCATCGCTTTCGTAGAAGAATTGGTACTGGATACAGCTTACGACTATGATAACGATTACAACTACGGTAAGAAGGCTATAAGCTAGAGTTACAACATCTACAGGGTGTCCCTTAAACACAGAGCAATAATATTTTATAATATAATTCTTAGTTATTATAATTCCATAGTTTGAATATTTTTTATTAATTATATTATTATTATTATTTTTATTAAGTTGTTTAAGTGACACCCTGTACCTTCCAGCATAAACACCTCCCATTATTAACACTTTATATGTGAATATTTCTCATAAACATAATCATATATGAATATGAAAAAATATATAAATATAAAAAAGTATAGATATGTTTTTGAGGAATATTCATACAGTTGCTTTACTCACTACATAAAATGACCTTCAAGACATTTCACATCACATTTATCACCACACTTTCAGGTAACATATTCTATATTTATAATTTACTAATGTTTATTATTATTATTTTAATATTAACAGAGTATTTGGTTTTTTATATAAATCTATTTAGGTGTTGATATATTGGATTTGTGTTCAAAAGACTATTTTTTGTTAGTTAAACTAAATTATACAGCTGGGTTGGAGCATTTGCATAATATGTTTTTTATTATTGATTATTATTGATTTTATCCATTATTGGTAAGCGTATTTTACATACAGTGGAAACATAAAATATAAGAAAAAATACCTTTTAAAAGAAGATAGCAAAATTCAACATCTAAATGGATTTACATAAAAAAATAAGTTTTTTCAAATAATATACTTGTTTTTTCATATGGTTATTTAGTTGAACCGCCAAGGTGGTCAGCTTGGTCGGAATGGTCAGATTGCAACGAAGACTGTCTAAAGACGAGAAAGCGACAGTGTATACCAGGAACCGGCTCGTCCAGAAAAAGCTGCAATGGAAAGGATGTCCAGACGAATCCGTGTTCTTCAGATTTGTGCAGATCAATGGAGTTGACTAGAGTCAGAGAAGGTAAGTTTGTTTTAGAATATGTCCTTGATTATTTTCTTTTTATTACTATCTATAATTTTCTTGTATTACATATGTATTTGTGATCAAGATTGTCCTCTAGGGGGCGTAACAGCAATTTAATATTTATCATTGTTGAAAGAAAGAGGACCAAACAATTTTCGAAGGTATTCGCAGAGAAAAAAAATGATAGACTGGTCATAATTGACGAACACAGAAAGTTGCAAAGGTATTTCAGATAATTCCACCATAATTTAAACTTTAATAAAATTCAAAGCTGAAACTATTAAATGTCAACAACTTTTGATGTTTAAATGGCATCCTCGGCATTTTTTTGCTTTATTCGATAGAAAATGACACTTTGAATGGACATGTCATATGTCAACTTTTGATATTTTCGCATATGGTTTAATTGAAATTGTAACATGCGGTTTATGACGATAATTTGACTCAAAAATATTGGTTGTGTGGTACCAAATTGTTAGTAAAAAAATGCTTTTTCCAAATATGCTAATGATCCACCTTCGTTCCATTTGAAATAAATTGAGATATGATTAAAAATACGATTTGGGTATCTTTTGACCGGCCAGGACAAGACACGATAAACATTAGGTGCAATTCACACTGAACGGACGTGGGCGAGGACGTGGCAAGCACGGGACACGGACGCGGCGGAGAAGTGACGGGTGCCAATTCATACAGAAGGGGCCGGGTAGTGACGAAAAATTTCGGTAAGTTAGGAACGGAGAGATGAAGTAGTTTAAAGAGTCCTAGTTTTGGCTACAACTGTTATTACCGACTAGATTAGAACATGGATTTTTCAAGTTCTGATGAAGATATATTGGATTTGGTGTACTTGGCTAATGTATAAAATACAGACAATTTTGGGTTCATCTATTGTGGCTAAAGAATGGGAAAACGGGTGGAACATTCGACGTTATGCTTCAACTTTCTCACAAAACTGAATATTAAATTCAATATAGTCTTGCATTTTTTACTACGCCACAAGTGTCGTTCAACGGACGTGTCTGTTCCTATACGCCACGAGCGACTGGAAGGAGACGTGGCAAGGGCGGGATGGCGTGGCAAGGGCGGACGCCGCCTCTGTGTGCATTGGACCATTGAATTACATAGAAGAGACGTAGAAGCGACATAAGTCTGTGCCACGTCCACGCCTGACGTCCGTTCAGTGTGCATTGCGCCTTAGATCTATTTTTCCAAGGGTCATAGATTAAAAATTAGTGTTTTTAACACAGCCTTGGCACTCTAGATTGAAATTTAAAATACGATTTTTTAAATTTTAAATGAAAATGTCAAAAGTTGACATACGATATTGCATTATATTCAGAGTGTCATCTTATATCGAATAAAGTAAGAAATACACTTTTGAGAAACAGTCAGTTTATAGAGAACTTCAATATAAAAACAGGTTTCTTTAAAATTCTAAATTCCCTAACCCCCTAACACACGCGGTCGTGTGGAGGCCACTTAAGAATCTTCTACTAAATTTAGTACCAGTCCAGTAGTAGCACTTTTGAGCTCGATGTGTCAAACTTTTGAAAAATCGTAACATAAATTGGACTCGTGTCACATATCACAAAAGTACAGACTGAAGAAAAAGAGAGAGATCTGTTGTTTTGTATTAATTAGGTTACGAAGGATTGTAAAACTTTTTGTATGACTTGAGAAATAAAGATTATTATTTACTTATTTCGTTTTCAGCCATTTCTGGCTCCAATTCAATCAGCAATCGAGACGAAAGAGAATTAAAAAATATTGACTCAAAACTGACGGCTTTATTTATTTGTCAAATTACATAGAAACCAACGCCAACACAGCACAATATTTTTTCTACTCATAATAAATTCCTTGTAATAATAATTTCTGAATATTTTTTAAAACGTAACTCGCTAAATAAAGACAATAAAATACCATTTTATTGTCTTGTAATATAATTATAATAATGTAATATATTGTAAGAAAAGAAAAGAAGAAGAGTAATAAATTCCTTGAAATTCCAGCCAATAAAGCTGCCGCAATATCAGGACATCTTAAATATCCCAAATGGAAAAACAAACATTTGAGTACAGAATGTAAGTCAAGAATATACAAAACCTGCATACGACCAGTGATGACATATGGTGCGGAAACCAGAGCTGAAACATCAGTAACAAAGAGAATCCTACGAACTACTGAAATGAAGACCTTAAGAATGATAACTGGATACACATTGAGAAGAAGAGAATGGAACCAGCATGTCAATAGAATGGGCCCCGACAGAATGGCCATAATAATTCGCAACAACGTACCCCATGGCAGAAGACCTACTGGACGACCACCTAAACGTTGGCAAGACAGTTGGCAGTCAACCTCGCAAGAGTTGCTTAGACGAGGAGAAAACCGAGGAGGAACTTTTAAATGAAAATGTCAAAAGTTGACATACGATATTGCATTCTATTATCGAATATAATATAATAATAATATTGCATTCTATTATCGAAATTGCATCTTATATCGAATAAAGTAAGAAATACACTTTTGAGAAACAGTCAGCTTATAGAGAACTTCAATATAAAAACAGGTTTCTTTAAAATTCTAAATTCCCTAACCCCCTACTATTGATTTTCATCAACAAGTACGTATACCCACACAAAAATCTATCAAAATCACAAAGAGTTTGCATTACTAATAAATACCCCATTCGCCCCCTATTCGTATCCTTCACACCCTCCTGCTTGATATTCTCCCCAAACTGCCCCATAAAACCTAACCTATTTTTTCTCTCTCCTGAACCAAGTGCGCTCCTATGTGTTGCACGTGATATCATTTATTTATCTTGCTCTTATCTGCCTCTGCGCGTTTTGCCTCTCCAAACCACACACAGTATTCACAACAGCCGCAAACCTGGAGAATACTCAACTCCCGACCTTCCAGATTTACGAGCTCTTTTAAGCCGGGCCCTTAGTTTATCTACATTGCATGTACGTAAATGTATAGAGGGTGGATATTTTTCTTGGAAAAATCGTAAGTTTTCTCGCCATTGAAACTGAAATCTAAAAATAAAATAGTTATTTGTGTAACTAGTGCAAAAAGGACATATTTGTTGCACGACGCATGAGTTTTGCAGCTGGTGACGAAAGGCCTGTTCGCAGAAGAATCCCTGACTAGTCAGCACGTTTTTTATTGGTTAAAATGCGTAGAAACCTGATTGTTAGTCTGGTTTCTACACATTTCAACCAATAAGAAACGCGCTGACTAGTCAGGGATTCTTCTAAGAACAGACCTGGTGTCGAGAGATGCAATTATGCTGAGTACAACAAATATGCTTTTTATATAAGTTGCACACAACATTTTTTCTACGATCGAATTGAACTTCTTATTTAAATGTTTATTAAAAAGTTAGTACACTATAAACAAATATAATTTATATTTTTTTTAATAACTTTTTTGAGTTCTTTTTAATTTCAATGTCGCAGTTTGAACAATTCACTGAGGCAATTGATGGACAAACTTCATTTCCAGTACTCTTTGAATTTTCTTCTCATTTCTGCTCGTGGAGGTCTCGGGTTCTTGTTCTTTACTTAAAACTCTTTTCCGGAATGTGGCTGCGAGGTGTCCAGTACTGGTACTCGGGTTACCTTTCAGGATTTTACAAATTTTTACAAACATTTACCAATTTTTTCTCTTTAGTTAAACTCGTCATTAATAATGCCATGGTTGTTTTTTGTACTACCGTAAAAAAAAATACTTTTAATTCAGAATATAGTGTAAAAAATAGTTACGTTTTGCATGATCGTAGAAAAGAGTTATTTGTGTAACATGCTACTGAATAAAATCCAAAAGGAAGCCAGCTTTTTGGTAGCTTTTTACTATTGAAGAAATTGTCTGGCCAAATAAAAATTTTTAAGACTTGTAAGTGCACCTTTATTAAATATTTACTAAACGTTTCTGTGTGGAAATATCTAGAACACCTACTACGAGCCCTAACAACTATACGTTGGGACAAGGTCTTTTTTTTGCAATGAAAATAGTAATTTGTTAAAACGACTCAATTTTATTTTGTTTATTATTTTAAATTCAAACATTACAATATGATCAAGACAATTTTACTATATTTTTATAACTTTGCAAACAAATCACTTTTGATAATAGCTTATTTTGCCAAATCAAGCCAAATTTGCTGACAACTATATATTGGGACAGCACAAGAAGAAATTGGTTTAATACGGAGTTACATCACCTTTCGACTTAACAACTGCCTGAACTTTTAATGGCATTGTATTTGCCAAAGATTGGCACATTTGAGGAGAAAAATTATCTCAAATTTCCTGCAGTTTTGTCCGTAAATCAAAAATTGTTGGTTGAGGGTGGTTTCTTAAATATTGCTTCTTTTTATGCCACACAGTTTCTGTAACATCGAGGTCCGGACTACTTGCACGATGGCACAATTTTTATATTATTATTACCCAACCAATTTTTAGTTGATTTTGCTGAATGGCACAATACTCCATCTTGTTGGAAAATATAGTCTTCGTTTGGAAACAATTCTTGAGCACTAGGCAAAAGTGAGGTCTCAAGTATATGTTGATATTTTTGGGCGTGAACAGTGCCATCTATAAAAATTAATTTGCCCAAACCTCTTGCTGACATGCAACCCCAAACCATAATCTCCTTAGGAAATTTAACAACACTCTTTAAGTAATCTTTATGAAAGGCTTCTGCTTTATTTCGTATTATTCGCTTTCGATGATCTCCAACGCAAACATCAAATTTAGACTCATCGCTAAATATGACCTTATTCCAATCATTTTGTGTCCACGATAATTTAGATTTTGTCCAATTGTAGCGATTTTTCTTTTGAATTTCTGTCAGTAGCGGTTTTTTTTTGGCCTAAAGAATTTGTATCAATAATCTTCTGGTAATTGATTATCCACACAAAATAAAGTTTACCTTGTAAAACCCCAAACCGCATTTATGGATATGTTTTCGGCAACATTCTCTTG